TTCAATTATCAACCTAAGCTCAAGCAATCCTTTGTTCATCTTGTCCATTCTTTGAAGTTTGTAAAACTTGTTGACCATTTTTCAACTTCTGGCTTTTATTAGTTTATGGGTTACATGTTTAAAACATTTTATTCCCACTAATATTCACAGAAATTTTTGCCGCATAAAAACAGAAGCTTAAATAGCTATGTACTCTATGAAGTAAGAAACAATCAATTTTTGTATATTGATGGGCCTTGTACATATGGGAATGTGATTTCATCAGATATTTAATCTTTTTGGACATTTTTACTCACTGGGCTTAATTGAGTTTGGCTTTTCTTTATTCTCACAGTTCTGTCCTGAAATATGTCCTTCATATTCTAGCTTTGAGCTTAGCCAAGCCAAGCTAGTCATGACTGGCATGCAAGGTGACCAAGCCAAGCCTGAATTTTCATATTACATTTACTATATTGATCCCAAGCCACCCAGTTGTAGGTCCTTGGAAGAAGTAGGCTCAGTGGGTTAATATTCTGAGATGGATCTCACCAGTACACACTGGCTGCCTGAGTCCACTTTGCTATCCTCTCTCTATAAGTATTGCATGTCTGTGCATGCAAATGGCATGTAAACTTTATTATTGTTTTGGATTCAAAGTCAACTTTCACAGTAGGTAAAATTTGTGGGGCCAGTTAGCATGGGTATGCAAGACTTGATTTTATGACCAGACTTCAATTTATGAGTAGATTAAATGAATACGTATTAGATCGAGCAGTTTAGTATAATTGAATCTTATATTAAACAACAATCATTACTAGGTCAACCTCGGTGGTCAGTAATTACAATAGGAGAAAAAGCACCCCGCTGAGGAAGGTTTGATTAGTGGAAATACAGAATTCTTAGACTTGCATAGTGAACAAAGTTTTAAAATTCAGTTGGTTTCCCCCGCCTCCTCTTTCTAATACCTTGTTCATTCTGTGAATAACTGACAGGTGCCATTTATTAATCTGTGGGAACTTGGGAAAGTCTTGTTAGTTTTGCCTCTGCACAAGCGGGAAAAAAAAAAAAAAACGTACAAACCAGTTATTCTGGAATTTCTGCAAACGTTTAAAGTACATTCCTTGTTTTCATTGCCTCGCATGGTTTCTGTGAGTTAGCTTTGGTTTCAGTGCATGAGTTTGGTACAAGGACATACGGTTTTTTGGTTCTAGATTGGACGTCTTGTAAGCCATTGCGTTGTTCCTTTCCTGGCAGATGCAAAAGAAGTTGCAACAGTTGAAAACACAAAAGAAGAGGAAGCTTCAAGCTACAAAACTCTGTGGGGAGGGTCGTGGCATGATCAAATACTTGTAGCCGTCTCTCTCCTTGAATTGCTAAACAAGGTGAGCATCAGCGGCGGATCCATGTAGAGGGCAGTGAAGATACAGGGGGCAGTGCGGTTCATCACCCCTGTAAAAATTGAAAATTGTGGGCGGTCTAACGCAGAATTAGAATAATTGTCCAAAACATTATTTATTTTATAAAATCTTATCCAAAACATGTGATATGATAGGATATATTTCTATTTTTTTTTTTCTTTTTTGTTCAAATTACTCCATTTGATTAAGTTGTAGCAATAGGAATCTATATTGTATATAAAAGTGGGAATTTTTAAATTTTATTTTGGACAACTTTATATTTATGTTATTAACATATTATACTTCCATTATTCCATCATCAATAGCATCTAATAAATAACCCGTTTAATTAATTTTATTGATATAACAAGTTTACTAACTTTAATTTTGTTATAGAAGTATGAAAATTTTTTAATTATAAGTTTAACTAGGAATTAATTAGTAATTACTTTACTAAAGTAAGAATTTATGCAACCTCTGGTGCATTATACTGCACTTTCTTGGCAGGAGAGGAGTTTGAAATTTAAAAAATATATCATACTCTCTCTCTTCATCTCTGCATCTCCATTTAAAAAAAAAAAAAAAACTTTTCTCTCTCTGCACTTGCGCAGAAGTGCCCCCCCCCCCAACAAAAAAAAAAAAAAAAGAAAAAATTCGAACTCTTCTTCTCCCCCTCTTTACCCACATCTACTGTAATGCCAAGAAAACGTTATACAGTTTCCTCTCTTGTTACCATTTTCAATACTGCACTTTCTGACATAGCAGACACCTAAAACACAATTTCCCTCTTTTTAAAGACTAGTTCAATATTTTAAAAACTTAGCTTTATACTTAAAATGATCAGTTTAATGATTTATTGGCCAGTTCAATATGTCACATATCCGGTTTAGTGCTTTGCAAGAGGGTTTAAGATTGGTTCAATGCTTTACATGTCGGTTTAGGCCTAGTTTAGTGATGTAACAGCTAGTTCAGGGTACTAATAATCGACTTAAGTCCAGTTTACACTTTAAAGGATGGTTTAAAGGTTAAATAGACTGTTTTATGCCTTATAAGTCCGGTTCAAGACTTTAGAACTCAGTTCATAACTTATTTGATTGATTGAGAATTAGCCTCGACATGGGTTTTGGGCACGAAAACCTAGAACGATACCTAGGTTTTAATTTGAAAGTTAATACTAATTCAATTCCTAGACATAGAAGAAACCTAAAATAGATATTTTATATGTTTTTATAATTTTAGATTATTGTACGATTCTCGTAGAGTCCGTGTCACTAAAATAGATTATTTGATTTCTATCAGTTTTGTGAATAATAATGTGTATTTATGAGCACTTACTGTTTTTCATATCTGTTATAAATTCTGATTTTACATTATATAATTGCTTTCTGAAAATTGAATTAAATTTTGTTATAAAAGCATAACAAGGGACATCTATGTAATTTTTGAAATTGTTTTAGAAAATCTATTTGTTATTTACGCTCAATTTGTTTATATCTGTAAATAGAAAATTCCGTTAGACTATTTCTATTTATTTTTGGAAAACTATTTTAAGAAAGTTTTACATTTTTAGAACACTGTATTTAAACTACCATGTTGGACTAACTGCACTTTAGATTGTATCCCTAGTTAGCAAAAGTAGTGCTAGACTATCATGTTGGACTAATATGAGAGACCTATATATCTGTATATCGGCAGACTAAGTGGTTGTTGTCTGATTTTTATTTCTGATTTTTGTTATGTTCTAAATCATGAAGTTTCTAAATTCTAGATACTATTAAATTCTGATTTCTGTAAAATTTTTATGTTATATCTGTTTTACATGTCCTTGTCTTATAGATGAATGTTATTATTCACTAAATCTGTTAATCTAGTTCTTATTATTTTTTAGATTCAGAATTTGATGTTCTGTCAAGTCCTATTACTTGAGAGGAGTTCGTTATTTCTGTTGATTTCGTTCTTAATTATAGAAGTTTAATTATTTTTAGTTTTCTGTTAAATTTTGCATTCCCGAATTTTTAAGTTAGTTACATTTGACTATAGACAAGTTAGTTGCCAATGTACTGATAGTTTACTTGAAATTCGAATTTAATTTTGTTTTTAATTTTATATAAGATCTTAATTTAATAAATTATGAGTTATCTAATAGACTTACAGAATTGGAATTTATTCTAACATTAGAATCGGTTACGAATCCATTTTTTGAGTTGTGACATCCTATTACAATTTTTGACAAGGTCAAGGAATTTTGTCAAAACCTCCTCCCTCTTGAATAAAATACAAAATAAAATTTTGTACTTGGAATAATCAAAGGCATGTGCAACTTGAGACAAAAAATTGTGCTAATAATACAATATAAGTGCACCATGTTAATGTTAGTTCTTAAAGAAACTGGTTTTGACGAGTTTAAAGATAGGCCTTGTTCTCATTGTTAGAAAATAAAAATATTACTACATAAAAGAATGCAGACATAAAAATAAAAAAAAAAGCAATGAAATTAGTAACCCAACAAACATAGTGGAAAAAGTTTTTAAAAAAAAATTTTTTTTAAAAAAACTTGTTGCTATACTCTAAAAAATGTAAATAAGCATGGTAATAAAGTTGCTTATACTTGAGGAGCGACTATTTACATAATTCAAGACTTATCAATGAATTAAATGAACCAGAAACAGTGTCGGTACAAAACCAACATTACCAAAAAAGGATTATAGTACCCGTTGTATACAACGCAATTGGAAGGGCATTGCTTTAATCATTTGTGAGGCTTTAACGAGAGATTGGGACGTTTTGTTGTAAATGTTATTAACTCAAGATCAGCTTGTGACCTTAATTCGTGGTAGAAACAATTTTAATTATTAGCAAGAAATTAGTCAGTTTTATGCGTGTATTGTCTTACATTTTAATATCAAAAGGTATGATTTAATCTGATACTCCGCTTTATTAAAATTTAAAGATAATTACACTAATTAAAATTTTAAATGGAAAGAGACCTTTGAGACAGTGAGTTTTTAGTGCTTCAAATAGTAATTTGTATAAAATTTGAATCGCACATAGAAAAAACAAAACCATGAAAGACTAAATAAATAAATCCCCGGTCTGAAAGAAGTTAATATGAAAGTGATCTAATGAAATCATTTAAGAATAATCTAATTTTATATACAAGAAAAAATTAATTGACACCGTATAAATGTAAAAAAATTTATATTAAATCTTACACCGTTAATTTAATAAAAATTAATAGATAAAATTAATTTAAAAAAATAACTATAATTATCTTTTAATAACTTCCAATAAACTAATTTACAGTTATTTTTTTTTTAATTAATCTCATCTATTAATTTTGACCAAAATCAACAGTGTAAGATTTCACATATATTCTTTACACTTACATCGGTAATAATTGATCCTTTCTCTTTATATAATATATATTTTTGACATTTCAACAATAATGTATGTGTGCCTATATACAAACAAAAAACGGTATTCAAAAAGAACGTCGCAGTTTTTCATTAACTCCCATAACATTGTTTTGGAGAGATTACCGCCGATCAGTACAGCATATTTTATTTTCTTATTTCCTTTTCACAAACAACCAGCTTCTGTCCAGCCAAAAAGGACTTTGGAGCGCTACGGAGAGTTCTCCTTGGGATATATTTGTTCAAGAGCTTGAGATAGATTCAACACAATTTCTGCATATGCTGCACAAAGGAAAATTGTAGTAAATGATACAAGTCATAACATAAAAGATAATATTAAAATGAAGAATCATCCTAAAACTAAAACTTTCAGATAAAAATAAACATCACTATGTTGGATGATTGGATATTGTCTGTATAAACACTAAAATTTAGTGCCAGTAAAAGATATAGAAGGAATAGCTTGTAACTGCTTGCCTCCCTGCCTGAGTTTGCCTAAAATGATTATGTCAGTGACCCATCCCCTTTCCAAAAACTAAATAAAAAAAAATTATTGAATCCTCTGCCTTGCATAGCAAGAACTTTCCAGTGCACCACCTATCTGTTCTGGGACCCATTTTTAAATAGAAAAACTCATCAACCATGTGATAGAAGCAAACCTTCTGGTAAACTCATAGTCCGTAATGCTTCCTCCGCATAAGATAGACGTGCAGGAATGGAGTGGCTTCCTGATGTTTCGTTCCCCTTCCTTGCGACTGTTGCTGCACTGTTTGAAGCTTTCTTAGATTGATGCATTGGCCATGCCAGGACACTAACCCGAGTTGGAACCACACAGACAAGCTCAGCATACCTGAGACTGACTGTTACCTTGCTGCAACATGGACCCAGATTTAGAAAAGGTAAAACTCAACAACCTAAGAGGGGCATGACTTGTAAATGTACAGATATTAATTCTCGTAACATAAAGAAACCAAATATCATATGGTAAAACCAAATAGAACTTTAAATAATTTTGTCACCTGACACTTTTGAGCGACATTACATTATGTTTGCAATGAACATAGCATTACATAAATAATTGAAATCTTTATCATGTTACCAAACTTTTTCTGGTTTTGCATGGAAAGTCCCAGCTGCTCACAATTAAATTCACTATTCAGTTTGCAAAGAATCACTATCCAACTTCTCACATGAAATGCAAATGTCTTATATTGAACATACACATGCATAATATATTCAAACCATGGTACAAATGCCTAAAACGCGTCATATATTTCCAAGGAAGTTATTTATCTAGGCATATAAGGTATAACCGAGTTTCTGTCACAGATCCCTACTTTTAGTAGGTCACGTAATCTTCAATGCTTGATTATTAACATTTATAATAATTTTTCATTATGAAGGATGTTAAGATATGAGAATGAATTTTTCACATGCATGCATTTGATTGAACTACAATCTATAAAAGTTGGAAAAGTTCACAACTGTGATTCAGTTAAGGGCAGCATTACAGCAAACACACAAACAAACAACTTCAGTAGTGGCAGATTTCATTTAATTTCATATCTCAGCATTTCAATATCTCTCTTGAGACACATGTGAAAGCTCCAAGGCCAAAAAAAACTTAAATATTTTAGCAATGATGGTTTTCAACATCGAAGAAAACATTAAAAACCATCTTTCTAAAAAGAAGGGAGAAAAGTGAATAGCCTTATGTGCCATCTTGAAATATGTGGTTGGTTTCACAACACAAAGTTGCCAGCAAAGGGACACTAATGCAGCAGCAGATACCAATAAATACATAAATAAGAAACCAAGAATTGCAAGGAAAAAGGGACTTGATTTGAAATGTTAAGTTTCAGAAAAGGCATGCCAGTGCATTTTGTCGAGAGATTTATTTATTTATTTATTTATTCTTAGCGTGGGAGAGTCACCTATTTTGAGCAAAAACTGGACAATCAACTTCTGCATACCATCCAATTAAGTTAATTGGTACCAGATAGCCAACAACTTTTGTTAGGAAATGTGTGATGTAGACAGTTGGAGACAGCCACATTATCATGCCATGTAAATACATAGATCATTTTGCCTTCATTAATTATATCAATGTTGTAAATTGCCAACAGTTATATGCGTCATACCACACCCCCACAGCACCGTTAGAATAATTATATTAGAGACAGAGAAAAAAACATACTCATATTGCCAAAGGTTATATTAAGTTATAGCATTTTGTTTAAAGTAGATTATCTAAGCATTATTGTTTGAAAAATGCTCATACATTTGTCAAAAACAAGATGGTGGCGGCGATGATTTTCTGCAAAATTGAAAGAGATAATGAGTTATTATTACTAATTTGAGCCAAAAAAAATGCAATATGTGTGTGTTTTGCGTGTGTGTCTATATATATACATACATATATATATATATATTCACTTATTTAAAGCAACAATTTATTTATCTAAGTTTTGATGAAGGTTTTCTTTTTTCTTTTTTCTTTTTTTTTTGGAGGGGGAGGGGGTGTAACTTAAAATTTCAAAAATTTTTCAAGACTTTGCCTCACTAGGATTTCACTTTGGTCAAGGTTAAAAAAATAAAAGAAATTTCCAAATAATAGATTGGGGCAGACCATCAAAACATGGAAGGTTACATGTCCTTTCCACTTAGCTTATATGAGTGCGATATTCTGAGTGAGTCATACTGACAACATGTTGGGTTATCATTTATTTAGAGCAACATGTTATTTATCTAAGATTTTATTTTATTTTATTTTTTTTTTTTTGGGGGGGGGGGGGGGGGGGGGGGGGGGGGAGGGGGGGAGTGTGTGTGTGTGCACACCTTCGTATTTTAAAGCAACAAGTTATTTATCTAAGTTTTGATGGAGAATTTTCTCTTACTCATTAGGATTTTTCTTCTATGTTCAGAAAATTGTGAATTTGGACTTGCAAATACTCTCAAGTATGAACATATCAACTTTACAAAACTGAACATGGTTTAGATCTTCAAAGCCTAAGGTAATGCATAAATGACGTAGACCTGCCTAAACTAAGGTAAAGCACCATGATAGTACCCTGCATCACCTTAGTGTCTAGGCAAGTCAGGGGAGAGCTTTCAACAACACTCCATTCACCCACATAAAGTACATTGATTTAGCAAATTCAAATTCCAGACAAATCTTATTTTGAAGCTTCAGCCTCACCAGTCCATATTCACACTCTGATGCACTTGCACATAAAAACTAATTAAATTTTGGACAGCCATTCACTTATGGCAGCTTTTATAACAACAAGAGTCTCAATCCCACCAATTATTATCAGTGTTATTAGAATTATACAATTCACAATTCGATTTTGTGCGATTTGATACGATTCGTGAAGTCAACAACTCGTATCAGCTATTGAATCGCAGAAGCATCCAAATCGTGTGATCCATGCACGATTCGATACAATTCACAACTTGATAAATATTTGTGTTTAATATATAATTTGTGTAGACTAAATCAAGGGTTAACTTTCATAATCATTTTTCCATTAATAACTATATAAATTTGCATAAATTTTCAATGTTAGACACTTCTATTATATTAAAATTTTAAATTAATTATGTCTATTTTCTTTAATTAGTTTAATTTATAAAATTTATCTCATTTGGCACCCATGATAAACTATCTAACTCCATGAGACTTTTAAGTATTTTGTTCATTGTTTTAAATGTGAAATCATGTATATTTTAGGTGTTTTTATTGATGTGTTTCTAAATCACATGATAAGTTATGATTCATGAAATTATAAATTGAACAAACAATTCTTGATACAATTCATGATTGAAAAACTATGATTACTATCATGTATTGAAGAATCATCTAACATATTGAATATTTGATCTTTGTAAATTCGGAAGTAACAATCAAGTCTAAAACACTGAAATATTTCCTTTTTCAACTAGGCAGGTACTTCAAATACATATATTATATTGGGGATCTACAAGATTTTTCACTTTCAAGTCATGCAAAAAGAGAGATATAAAGGATGTCCCTGACCTCAGATAAACAAGAAGTCATATGACCCAAAAGAAAAAAATGAATCAAAAAATTCTGTTAAAATGGAATTTATACCAGACTATCAGAAGAAAATACATGATACAAAAAACAGATTTGATAAAATGCACCTACCAATTAAAATCATCTAACACAAATTCAATCATGTGGTAAGGCAGACTGTGATAAAGTTCCTTAATTTGATTGCCATATAACTCCTTAATAAGTCGAACCTGCACAAGAAAAAGTTGAGTGTGAGAATTGAGTTCATCTTTCTTATGTTTTCATTCTAAAGCAACCTCGTCAAAGAAATAATATCTATACTGGGAAAGGATATATTTAATGGCAGTTATCCTGTCATTGTTTGCTTTTCTAATCCCCTTCCTACTCCTCAACAATGACAGGATAACTGCCATTAAAATATGAGCCAACTCATATCTCTAGTATTGTAGGTTTGATCCATTTTTGGCTCTTAAGATTTAAAAAATCTGGGTCCTAACAAAATGCACAAAATCCAGACTAAATTATGATATCCACAACACACCTGCTCCCGTCTATCCACATAAGCCTGCAACAGATCTCCAACATGGTCGATAAATTTCTGAAACAAAATGTTGAGATGCTTGGTTAAGCATTTTGTTACTTGCAGCCACCAGTAATAATGAGGAGTTCAAAACAGCAGTCACACCATAGCATTTGAAGAAAGAAGATCATTTTCAGCTTCACGAATTGGAAGAAAGAAAGGTACTGTATGCTCAAGAACAGTCATCTTCTCAGAAATGACTTGCTTTCTAGTACACAGTGGTAAATCTCACAAGGTTCCCTGCAAAATGGAATAAATAAATGGATAATATCTGAACACCTTAGTTCATGGGGGATCTCCAAATGAATGATACTATTTCAATTCAGGACATATTAGTTTTGAACTTGAAGGTTCCTAAAAAGAGAGAGGATGACAAAATTAAAATAGAGAAGATACGCTTTTTGCTCATAATTCATAATATATTCACAACCAGGATGGAGTCCAAAACCATTAGAACAAAACATACTAAAACAGAATTTTCTCAACATAACTAGATTTTGTATCTTATAATTCTTCCACAAAACAAAATATGGTTCCATTTAAACTTGCATTTTTAGCTTCTTTTATTGTGTATTTATGATTTTGTTCTGAGGAAACAGATCCAATGACTGATTTAAATTTTTATCAATATTAATCCCATATGATCTTTTGCCTTTCATTAAGCACCTGTATGAAAAGCAACTAATAAGTCCAAACAAAAGTGAAGAAGCCGTAGAAGAATAATCGAATCTCCAACTGATTTTTTAACAAAAACAGCCTCTTAATAGTGGACACAACACATCCTAAGGCATCTAACCTTGGCTTAAACAAGAACTCTAAATTCGTAGTCTGTCAAAATCTTTCAAGCCTAAACAAGCCCATATACATCACCATATGCAAATAGGTACAAACTAGATACTACCAAATATAAATGTAAGTGCCAAACAAGCTAGATGTCATATAATCATACCACTAATGAGAAACATGACCAGTATTTTCCAAGATGCTAGCAGCAAAATAATAATAGAAGTACTAACAATTCATTTGTGTGTGTGTGTGTGTGTGTGTGTGTGTGTGTGTGTGTCATAGAGGAGGGAGGAGAGATGGATATTTGTATTTTTGATTAATACATAGCAAAACAAACAAGTAACAGGGAAAAAGTGAATAAAAA